GGGGGGCGGGGGCCCCGCGCCGGGGGGGCGGGGGCGGGGCGGGGGCCGGGGGCCGGGGGGGCCGGGGGGGGGGGCCGGCGGGGCGGGGGGCCGGGCCCCCGGGCCCCGGGGGGCGGGCGTCGGGGGGGCGGGGGCCGGGGGGGGGGGGGGCCGCGCGGGCCCCCCGGGGGCGGGGGCCGGGGGGGGGGTCCGGGGGGGGGCGGGGGGCGCCGGGGCGGGGGCCGGGGGCCGGGGGGCCGGGGGGGGGGGGGCCCCGGGGGGGGGGCGGGGGGCGGCGTCGCGGGGGGGCCCCGGGGGGGGGGCCCGGGCGGGGGGGTCGGGGGGGGGTCGGGCCCGGGGGTTCCGGGGGTGCCGGGCGCGCCGGGCGGGCGCCGGGCCCCGGGGGGGCGGGGGCCGGGCCCCCGGCGGGGGGGGCCCCCCCGGGGGGGGCCCCCCCCCCCCCCCGGGGGCCCGCGCGGGGGGGCCCGGGGGGGGCGCGGCCGGGGGGGGGGCCCCGGGGGGGGGGGGGCGGGGCCCCCGGGGGGGCCCGGGCGGGGGCGGGCGCCCGGGGGCGGGGCGCGGGGGCGGCCCCGGGGGGCCCCCGGGGGGGGGGTTTCGGGGCGCCGGGGGGGCCGGGGCGCGGCCGGGGGCGGGCGGCCGGGGGCCCGGCGCCGCGGGGGGCCCGGCGGGCGCGGGGGGGGCGGGGCGCCCGGGGGGCCCCGGGGGGGCCCGGCGGGGGGGGCCGGGGGGCGGGGGGGGCCCCGGGGGGGGGGGGCCGGGGCGCGGGGGGGGGGTTCGCCGGGCCCCGGGGGGGGGGGGGGGGGGGGCCGGGGCGGGCGCGCGGGGGCCCGGGGGGGCCCCCCGGGGCGGGGGGCCCGGGGGGGTCGGGGGGCCCCCCCGGGGGGGCGGCGGGGCCGGCCCCGGGGGCGGGGGGGGGGGGCGGGGGGGGGGGGCGGGGGGGGGGCGGCGGGCGGGGGCGGCCCGGGGGGGGCGGGGCGCCCGCCCGGGGGGGGCGGGCGGGGGGGGGGGGGGGGGCGGGGGGGGGCGCGGGGCCGGCGGGGGCGCGGGGGCGCGCGGGGGCGCCGGGGGGCGCGCGCGGGGCCCGGGGGCCCCCGGGGGGGGCCCGGGGGCCGGCGGGCCCCCGGGGGCGCGGGGGGGTTTCGGGGGCGCGGGGGCGGCGCGGGGCCGGGCGCCGGGCGCGGCCGGGGGGGGCCGGGGTCGGGGGGCCCCCGGGGGCGGGGGGGGGGGGCGGGGGGCCGGGCCCCGGGGGGGGTCCCGGGGGGGGGGGGGGGCGCGCGCCGGGCCGTGCCCGGGGGGGGGGCCCCCGGGGGGGCCGGCGTGGGGGGCGGGCGGGCCCGGGGGCGGGGGGGGGGGGGCCCGGGGGGGGGGGGGCGGCGGGCCCCGGGGGGGGGGGCCCCCCGGGGGGCGGGGGCCGGGGCGCGGGGCGGGGGGGGGGCGGCGGGGGGGGGCGGGGGGCGCGGCGGGGGGGGGCGGCCGGGGGGGGGTTGGGGGGGGGGGCCCGGGCCCCGGGGGTTCCCGCGGGGGGGGGGCCCGGGGGGGGGCGCGGGCCCCGGGCGGTGGCCGCGGGGGCGGGGCCGCGGGGGGCCCGGGCGGGCGGGCCCCCGGGCGGCGGGGGGGGGGGGGGGTTGCGTCGGGCGGCGGGGGCCCCGGGGGCGCGGGGGGGCCCCGGGCCGGGCGGGCCCCTCCCCCGGGGGGGCGCCGGGGCCGGGGGGGGGGGGGGGGGGGGCCCCCCGCGGGGGGGGGGGGGGGGCGGCGGGGGGGGGCCGCGGCGGGGGGGGCCCCGGGGGGGCCCCCCGGGGCCCGGGGGGGGGGGCGGTTTGCGGGCCGGGGCCCCCGGCCGGGCGTTTTTCCGCGGGGGGGGGCGGGCCCCGGCCCGGGGGCGGCCGCGGGGCGCGGGGGGGGGGGCGGCCGGGGCCCCCGGGCCCCGGGGCGGGGGCCCCCGGGGGGGCGGGCGGCCGGGGGGCCCCCCCGGGGGGTCCGGGCGGGGGCGCCCCGGGGGGCGGGGCCCCCGGCGGGGGGGCGGGCGGGCGGGGGGGGGCGGGGGCCCGGGGTCGGGGGGGGCGGCGGGTTCGGGCGCCCCCCGGGGGGGGGGCGGGGTGGGGGGGCGGCGGGCCGGGGGGCCCCGGGGGCGGGGGCGGGGCGGGGGTGGGGGGCCGGGGCGGGCTGGGCGCGCGGGGGGCGCCCGGGGGGGCCCCGGGGGGGCCCGGGGGGGGGCGGCCCGGGGGCGGGGGTGGGGGGGGGGGGCCCCCCGGGCCCCGCGGGGGGGGGCGCGGCGCCGGCCGGGGGCCCCGGGGGGGGGGCGGGGGGGGGGGGTTTGGGGGGGGGGGGGGGGGGCGGGCCCCGGGGGCCCGGGGGGGGGGGGCGGGGCGCGGCCCCCCGGGGGGCGGGGTTTCCCCGCGGGGGGGGGCGGCGCGCCGGGGGGGGGGGGGGGCGGGGCGTCGGGGCGCCCGGGCGCGGTCCGGGGGGGCGGGGGGGCGGGGCGGGGGCGGGGCCCGGGGCGGGGGCGGGGGGGCCCGGGGCCGCGGGCGCGGGCGCGGGTCGGGCCGGGGGGGCGGGGGGGGCCTCCGGGGGGCGGGGGCGGGGGGGGGGGGGGCCCCGTTTGGGGGGCCCCGGGGCGGCGGGCGGGGGGGGGGGCGCGGTCGGGGGCGGGGGGGGGCGCGCGCGGGGGTTGGGGGCGCGGGGCGGCCCCGGGGCCCCGGGGCCCCTGGGGGCGGCGCCCCCGGGCGGGGGGGGGCGGCGGGGGCGGGGGTCGGGGGCGGCCCTGCCGGGGGGGGGGGCCCCGGGGGGGGGCCGGGGGGGGGGGCGGCGTCGGGGGGGGCCGGCCCGGGCCCCCGGGGGGGCGGCCGGGGGCCCCCGGGGGGCGCGGGCGGGGGCCCCCGGGGCCGGGGGGGGCCCCCGGGGGGCGGGCGCGGCGCGGGTCGGGCGGGGCCGGCCCCGGGCCCCGGGGGGCCCGGGGGGGCGCCCGGGGGGGGGGGGGGCGCGGGCCGGGCCCCCGGGCGGGGGGGGGGGCCGCGGGGGGGGCGGGGGCGCGGCCCCCGGGGGGGGGCCCCGGGGGGGGGGGGGGGGCGGGGCCCCCCGGCGGCCGGGGCCCGGGGGGGCGCGGGGCCCCGGGGGGCCCCCCGGGGGGGGCCGGGGGGGGGGGGGGGGGGCGGGGGCGGGGGGCCCCCCCCCCGGGGGGGCGGGCGGGGGCGGCGGGGCCCGGGGGGGGTCCCCCCGCCGGGGTCGGGGGGGGCGCGGGCCGGGCGCGGCCCCGGGGGGGCCCCGGGGGGGGCCGGGGGGGGGGGGGGCCCCCCGCGGGGGCGGGGGGGGCCGCGGGGGGCCCCGGGGGCCGGCCCCGGCCGGGGGGGCCGGGCGGGGCGGCGGGCCGTCGGGGGGCGGTGGGCGGGGGGGGCCGGCGGTCGGGGGGGCCCCGGGGGCCCGGGCGCCCCCGGGGCGGGCGGGGGCGGGCCCGCGGCCCCGGGCCCCGGCGGGGGGCGCGGCCGGGGGGGCCCCCGCGCGGGGGCGGGGCCCGGGGGGGGGGCGGGGGGGGCGGGTCGGGGGGGGCGCGGGGCCCCGGGGGGCCCGGGCGGGCGGGGGGGGGCGGGGGCCGGGGGGGGGGGCGGGGGGGGGGGGCGGGGGGGGCCGGGCCGGGGGGGGGGGGCGGCGGGGGGGCCGGGCCCCGGGGCGGGGGGGGCCCCCCGGGGGGGGGCGGGCGCCCGGGCGCGGGGGGGCCGGGGGCGGGCCCGCGGCGGGGGCCCCGGCGCCGCGGGGCGGCGGGGGGGGGGGGCGCGCCCGGGCCGGGGGGGGGCGCGCCGGGGGGCCCGGGGGGGGCGGGGGGGGGGGCGGGGGGGCGGGGGCCGGGGGCGCGGGGGGCGCTCGCCCGGGGGTCGGGGGGCCCCGGGGGCCCCCCGGGGGCGTTGGGGGCCCGGGGGCGGGTCGGGCGCGGGCGCGGCGGGGGGCGGCGGGGGCGCGGCGGGGGGGGCGCCCGCGCGCGGCGCCGGGGGGGGCCGGGGGTTTGGGGGGGGGGGGCCGGCGGGGGGCGCGGGCGGGGGGGCCGCGGCGGGGGCCGTGGGGGGGGGTCGGGGCGGGGGGCCCCGCCGGGGGGCCCCGGTCGGGGGCGGGGGGCGCGGGGGGGGGGGGGGGGGCCCCCGCGCGGCCCCCCGGCGGGGGGTCGGGCCGGGGGGGGGGGGTGGGGGCGGGGGGTTTCGGTCGGGGCCCCCTCGGGCGCGCGCGGGCCGGGGGGGCGGGGCGGGTTTTGGCCCCCGGCGGGCCGGGGGCGGGGGGCCCGGGGGCCGGGGGGGGGGGGCGGCCCCGGGGCGGTCCGCCGGGGCGGGGCCGGGGGGGGGGCGGGGGGGGTCCCTCGGGGCCCGCGGGCGCGGGGGGGGGGGGGCGGGTCGGTCGGGCGGGGGGGGCCGGGCCCGGGGGCGGCGGGGGGGCGGGGGGGGCGGGGGGTCCCGGGCCCCCGGGGCGGCGCGGGGCGGGGGCGGGGGGCGGGGGGGGTTTGGGGGCCGGGGGGGGGGCGGCGCGGGGGCGGCCGGGGGCTGGGGGGGGGCGGGGGGCTCGGGGGCGCGGGCGCCGGGGGGGGGCGCGGGGGGGTTTGGCGGGGGGCGGGGCGGGTCCGGGGGCGGCCCGCGGGGGCGGGTCGGGGCCCGGGGCCCCGGGGTTCGGGGCGGTTTTGGGGCGGGCCCCGGGGGGGGGGGCGGGCGGGTCGGGGGGGCCCGGGGCGGCCCGGGGGCGCGGCGGGCGGCGGCGGGCGGGGGGGGCGGGGCGCGGGCGCGCGGGGGGGGGGCGCGGCGGGGGCGGGGGGCGGGGGGGCGCGGGGCGCGGCGGGGGGGGGGGCGCGCGGGGGGCGGGGCGTCGGGCGGGCGGGGGGGGGGGGCGGCGCCGGGGCGGGGGGGGGGCCGGGGCGGGGCGGGCGGCGGGCGGGCCCCGGGGCGGGGGTCGGGGGCGGGTTTGTCGGGGGGGGGTTTTGGGGGGGGCCGGGGGGTCGGGCGGGGGGGGGGGGGCGTCTCGGGCGGGGCCCGGGGGCGGCGGCGGCGCGGGGGCGGCGGGGCGGCGCCGGGGCCGGGCGGGGCGGGGGGGGGGGGGGGCCGGGCGCCGGGGGTCGGGGGCGGGGGGCGGGGCGGGGGGGGGCGGGCGGCCCCGGGGCGGGGGGTTTGGGGTCGGGGGGGGGCGGGGGCGGGGGGGGGGGGGCTTCGGGGGGGGGGGGGGGGGGGGCGGGGGGGGGCCCGGGGGGGCCGGCGGGGCGGGCGGCGGCGCGGGGGGCGGGGGGGGTCGGCCCGGGGTCGCGGGGCGCGCGGGGGGGGTCGGGGCGGCGGGCGGCGGGGGGCGCGCGCGGCGGGGCGGCGGGGGGCGCGGGCGCGCGGGGGGGCTCGGGGGGGGCGGGGGGGGGGGCGGGGCGGGGCGGCCCGGGGGGCGGGGGCGCGGGGGCGGCGGGGTTTGGCGGGGGCGGGGGCCCCGGGGGGGCGCGGGGGGGGCGGGGGGGGGGGGGGGCGCCCGGGGGGGGGCCGGGGGCGGGCGGGGCGGGGGCGGCGCGCCGGGGGGGTGGGGGGGCGGGGGCGGGGGGGGGGCGGCGGGGCGGGGGGGGGGGTGCGCCGGCGCGGGGGGCGGGGGGGGGGCGCGGGGCGGGCGGCCGGGGGGGGCCGGCGGGGGCCGGGGTTTTGGGGGTCGGGGGGGGGGTGGGGGGGGGGGGGGGGGGGCGGCGGGGCGCGGCGGGCGGGGGGGTCCGGGCGGGGGGGGTGGTCGGCCGGGGGGGGGGGTTCGGGGTCGCGGGGCGGGGGGGGGGGGGCGGCGGGCGGGGGGGGCGGGGGGGCGGGGGTTTTCGGGCGGGGGGGGGGCGGGGGGGGCGGGGGGGGCGGGGGGGGGGGGGGCGGGGCGCGCGCGGGGGCGGGGTCCCCCGGGGGGGGGCGCGGGCCCCGGCGGTGGGGCGCGCCGGCGGCGCGGGGGGGGCGGGGGGGGGGGTTTCCGGGGGCGGGCGCGGGCGGGGTCGCGGGGCGCGGGGGGGCCGGGGCGGGGGGGGCCGGGGGGGGGGCGGGGGGGTCGCGGGCCCCGCCGGGGGGGGGGGGTGGGGGGGGGGTCGCGGCGCGGGGGGCGCGGCGGGGGGGCGGGGTTCGGGGGCGGGGGGGGCGGGCCCGGTTTGGGCCGGCGGTCGCGGCGGGGGCCCGCCGGGGTGCGGGGGGCGCGGGCGCGCGGGGGGGGCGCGGGGGGCCTCGGGGGCCGGGGGGCGGGGCGTCGGGGGGCGGGGGCGGGGGCGGCGGCGCGCGCGGGCGGGTCGGCGGCGCGGGGGCGCGGCGCTCGGGCGCGGGGGTCGGGTCCGGGGGCGGGGCGCGGGCCGGGCGCGCGCGGGGGGGCTCGGTTTGCGGGGGTCGCGGGCGCGCGGGGGGCGCTTCGGGCGGGGCGGCGGGGGGGGGGCGGCGTGGGCGCGGCGGCGCGGGCGGTCCGGGGCGGCGCGGCGGGCGGCGCGGGGCGGGCGGGCGGGGCGTCGGGGGGCGCGGTCGGCGGGCGCGCGGCGGGGCGCGCGGTTCGGGCGGGCGGCGGCGCGGGGGCGCGGGGCGGGGCGGGCGCTTTGGTCCGGGGTCGTCGGCGCGCGGGGGTCCGGGGGTCGGGGCGGGCGGGGCGCGCGGGCGGGGGCGGGGGGGGCGGGCGCGCGGTCGCGTCGGTTCGGTCGGCGGGGTCGGGGGCGGGGGGCCGGGCGGCGGGCCGGGGGCGGGGGGGCGTTTGTCGCGGCGGGGGCGGCGGGTCGGCGCGGCGGGGCGGGCGGGGGCGGTCGGTCGCGCGCGGGGGCGGGGCGGGCGGCGCGGCGGGCGCGGGCGGGCGCCGGGGGCGTTCGGGCGCGGGGGCGCCGGCGGCGGGCGGTCGGGGGCGCGGCGGGGCGCGGGGGGGCGGGGGCCCCGGGGGGGGGCGGGGGGCGGGGCCCGCGCCGGCGGTCGGGGGGCGGGGCGGGGCGCGGGCCGCCGTCGGCGCGGGGGCGGGGGGGGGCCCGGCGCGGCGGCGGGGCGGGGGGCGGGTCGCGGGCGGCGGGCGCGCGGGGCGGGCGGGGCGCGCGGGGCGCGGGGGGGGCGGGGGCGCGCGGGGCGCGGGCGGGGGGGGCGCGGGGTCGGGGGCGCGCGGGCGGCGCGGGGGGCGCGCGGGGCGGCGCGGGGCGTTCGGGGCGCGCGGGGTCGCGGGGGCGTGCGGCGGGCGCGGCGTCGGGGTTCGGCGGGCGCGCGGCGGCGGGCGGGCGCGGCTCGCGGCGCCGCGTGTGCGGGGTCGGGCGGCGCGCGCCCGGGGTCGGCGGCCCGGTCGGGGGCGGGGCGGGGGTTTCGCGCGGGCGGCGGCGGCGCGGCGGGCGCCGGGTTTGCGGGGGGGCGGGGGCGGCGCGCGGGGGGGCGGGGGGGTCCGGCGGGGTCGGGCGCGCGCGGGGGCGCGGCGGGGGGGTCGGGGGCGGCGGCGGCGGGGCGGCGGCGTCGGGGCGGCGGCGGGCGCGCGGGCGGGCGGGCGGCCCGCGGGGGGGGTTCGGGCGTCGCGCGGGGGGCGCGCGCCGGGGCGGGCGTGCGGGGGGTCGGCGGGCGGGGCCGGCGCCCGGGGGGCGGCGGCGGGGGGCGCGGGCGGGTCGGCGCGCGCGGGTCGGCCGGGCGCGCCGGCGCGCGGGGGCGCGTCGGGGCGTCGGGCGGGCCCGGCGTCGGGGGGCGGGGCGCGGGGCCGGGGGGGGTCGTCGGCGCGCCCTCGGCGGCGGCGCCGCGGGCGGGGCGCGCGGTCGGTCGCGGGGGGCGCCGGGCGTCGGGGGGCGGTCCGGGGGCGGGGCGGGGTCGGGGGTCGGGGGCGGGCGCGGCCGGGCGGCGCGGGCCCGCGGGGGCGGGGGGCGGCGGCGGGCGCGGGGCGGGTCGCGGGGCGGGGCGCCCGGGGGCGCGGGGGGGGGCGGGCGGCGGGGGGGCGGGGGCGCGGGGGGGGGTCGGGGTCGTCGCGGGGGCGGGGGGGGCCCCTTTTGGCGGGGCGCGGGGGGGGCCGCGCGGTCGGGGGCCGCGCGGGCGGGGGGCGGGCGGGGGCCCCGGGGCGGGTCGGGGGCCGCGCGGGGGGGGCGGGGGCGGGGGGGTCGGGGGCGCGCGGGCGCCGGGGGGGGCGGGGGGGCGCGGCGCGGGCGGGGGTCGGGGGCCCCCGCGGGGGGGGGGGGGTCGGGCGGGCGGGGGGGGGGCGGCGCGGGGGGCGGGGGGCCGCGGGGCCGGGGGGGGGCGGGTTCTGGTCGCGGGTTGGGGGGCGGGCCCGGGGGTTGCGGGGGGGCGGGCGTTTCCCGGGGTTTCGCCCGGGCGCGCGGGCCCGGGTCGGGGGGGGGCGGGCGCGCCGGGGGGGGGGGGGCCTTCCGGCGGGCGGGGGGCCGCGGGGTCGCGGGGGGGGCCGGGGCGGGCGGGGGGGGGGCCGGGGGGTTTGGGGGGGGCCGCGCCCTGGGGGGGGTTCGGGGGGGGCGGGGGCGGGGCGGGGGGGGGGGGGGGCGGGGCGGGGGGGCCGGGGGACGGGGCGGGGGGGGGGGGTGGCGGGGGGGGGGTCGCGGGGGCGGGGGGCGGGGTTGCGCCCCCCGGGGGGCCCCGGGGGGGCGCGGGCCCCGGGGCGGCGGGGGGGGGGGGTCGGGCGGGCGGGGCGGGCGGGGGGGGGGGGGGCGCGGCGCGGGGCGGGGGGCGCGGGGGGGGCGGGCGGGGGGCGCGGCGCGGGGGGTTCGGCGCGGGGGCCGGGTCGGCGGGGGGGGGGGGTCGGGCGGGGGGGGGGTCGGCGGGGGGGGGGGGGGGCGGGGCGGGGGGGGCGGGCGGGCGGGGGGGCGGTCCGCGGGCGCGGGGGGGGCCCCGGGGGGGCGGGGGCGGGGGTTTTGGGGGCGGGGGCGCGGTCGGGGCGGGTTTCGGCCGGCCCGGGGCGGGGGGGGGGGCGCGCCGGCGGGGGGCGGGGGGCGCGGCGCCCCCGGGCGGCGGGGGGGGGGTCCGGGGGGCCGGGCGGGCTCGGGGGGGGGCCCGGGGGGGTTCCGGGGGGGGGCGCGGGGGGCCGCGGGGGGGGGCGCGGCCTTTTGGGCCGGGGCGCCCTCGGCGGGGGGCGGGTTCGCGCGGGCGCGCGGGCCCGGGGGGGGGGGGGGGGTCGGGGGGCGGGGGTGTTCGGGGGGGCGGCGGGCTCGGGGGGGGGGTTCGGGGGGGGCGGGGCGGGGGGGGCGGGGGGGGCGGGCGCGCGGGGGGGGCCCGGCGCTTTTGGGGCGCGGGGGGTGGGGGGGGGGGCGCGGGGCGGTCGGGGGCCCCGGCCGGGTCCGGGGCGGGGGCCGCGGGGGGGGGCGCGGGGCGCGTCCGGCCGGGGGTTTGCGCGCGGTTCGGCGGGGGGGCCGGGGGGGCGGGGGGGGTCGGTCCGGTCCCCGCCCGGGGGGGGGGCCGGCGGGCGGGGGGCGCGCGGCGGCCCGGGGGGGCGGGGCCCCGGCGGGTGGGGCGGGGGGGGCGGCCGGCGGGGGCGGTTCGGGGGGGGGGGGTCGCGGGGGGGCGGGGGGGTCGCGCGTCGGGCGGGGCCGGGGGGGGGGGCGGGGGCGTCGCGCGGGCGGGGGGCGGGGGGGGGGTTCCCCGGGGGGGCCGGGGGGGGGGGGTGGGCTCGGGGGGCGGGGGGGGGGCGGGCCGGCGGTCGGGGGCGGCGGGGGGGGCCGGGGGGCCGGGGCGCCGGCGGGGGGGGGGGCCGGGCGGGGCGGGGGGCGGTCGGGTCGGGCGGGGCGCGGCGGGGGGTCGGGGGGGGGGGGGGGGGTCGGCGGCGGGGGGGCGCGTCGCGGGGCGGGGGGCCGCGCCCCGGGGCGCGGGGGCGGCGGGGGGGGGGGGGCGGGGCCGCGGGCGGGGGGGGTCGGGGGGCGGGGGCGGGGTCGGGCGGGTGGGGGGGGTCGGGGGGGGGCCGCGCGCGCGGGTCCCCCCGGGGGGGCGGGGGCGGGGGCGGCGGGGCGGGGGCTCCGGGGGGCGCCGCGGGGTTTTGGGGGCGGGCCGGGGGGGCCGGTCGGGGCGGGCGGCGGGGCGGGGGGCGGGGGGTGGGGCCCCGGGCCGCGGGCGGGGGCCGGGGGGGCGGGGCGGGCCCCCGGTTTGTTCCCGGCCGGCGGCGGGGTTCGGGGGCGGGGGCGGGGGGGGCGGGCGGGGGTTTTTGGGGGGGGGGCGGGGGCGGGGCGGGGGCGGGGGTTTGGGGGGCCCCGCGCGGGGGGTCGCGGTCGGGCGCCCGCGCGGGGGGGTTCGGGGGGGGGGCGGGGCGGCGCGCGGGGCGTCCCGGCGGCCGGGGGGGCGCGCGGGGGGGGCGGGGGCGCGCGGGGCGGGGGGGGGGGGGGGGGTTTGGGGGGGCGGGGGGGGGCGGGGGGGGGGGGGTCGGGGCCGGCGGCGGGGGCGGGCGGGGGGGGGGCGGGGGGGGGGCGGGCGGCGCGCCGCGGGCGCGGGGGGGGGCGCGGGGGGGCCGGGGGGCGGCGGGGCCCGGGGGGGGGCCCCCGCGCGGGGCGCCGGGGGGGGGGGCCCCGGGGGGCGGCCGGGCGGGCCGCGCGGGGGGGGGCCGCCGGGCGCGGGGGGGGGGTCGCGGGGGGCGGGGGGGGCGCGCCCGGGGGGGGTTCGGCGCGGGGGTGGTTTCGGGGGGCCGGCGCCGGGGGGGGGCGGGGGGGGGGGGCCGCGGGGGTGCGGGGCGGGTGGGGGGGGGGCTGGGGCGGCGGGGGGGGGGCGGCGTCGCGCCGCCGGGGCGCGGGGCGCCGGGGGGGCGTCGGCGGGGTTCGGGGGGGGGGCGCGGGGGGGGCGGGGGCCGGGGGGGCGGGGGCCCGGGGGGGGGCGGGGGCGGGGGGCCGGGGGCGGGCGGGGGGGGGGGGGGGGTCTGGGGGGGGTTCGGGGGGGCCGGGGGGTGCGGGGGGGGCGCGGGTCGCGGGGCGGGGCCCGGCGCCGGCGGGGCCGGGGGCCCCCGCGCGGGGGCGGCGGGGGGCGGGCGCGCGGGGCGGGGTCGGGGGCCGCGGGCGGCGCGTCGGGGGGGGGCCCCCCCCACCCCCCCCCCGGGGGGCGTCGGGGGGCGCGGGGGGCGGCGGGGCGGGGGGGCGCGGGGGGGGGGGGTTTTGGGGGTTTTCGGGGGGGGGCCGCCGGGGGGGGGGGGGGCGGGGGGGGGGGGGGGGGGGGCGGGGGGGGGCGGGGCTGGCGGGGGGGGTTTTTGGGGGCGGGGTTTGGCGGCGGGGGGGCCCCGGGGGGGGCGC